GTCTATAAAGATCAGAATCAGCTCTTTATTTAAAATTAAAACATTGATTCATATTCACTTTGTAGATTTTCTTTTCATACAAATATTCTGAGTCATATAATGTGCAACATTTTTCTGTTTTCTATTGCAAAGAATTGCAACAAAATACAAAGCACTGAGCACTGTTCTTTTCTAAAAGGCAAATTTTTGAATTTCCAATACTTATAAAGATGAAAAGCCTAGTAACAAAGTCTCTGTAGATTTTATATCTACTCAGCCATTTGTGTCATAAGCACTTTCATATGAGTTACCAGAACAGTTTCTAATTAAAGTTCAGTGACAAACCCACCATACATACTCCTCTTATTCCTTTCTACGCTCTGTATACTTATGCTTTTTGAAGTATACCAAATTTAAATGTTATGTTCCTGTCCCTTTAAAACAATTAGCTAGTTTTAGATGCTTTCAGGTTTCAGAACTTCTTGTTTTCATTAATTAAAACTTACATTTCCAGAGTGAAACACATGCACTTTTCAATACAGCATAAGCTGTGCTCCATCCTGCACCATTCTACACATTACTCACCAGGGCACAAAAACAGTGCACAGAAAATATAAGGCAGAAAGTGAAGGATGCAGTTTTGTTGATAACATTTTGATGGAATACCAGCACTCAAAATAAAATACATACTCAGCTCAACAGTGACTCATACATTTGAAAGTGAATAGGAAATTTGTGTAGGCAGAAAGTAATGATCAATGTGAGAATTTTACAGGAGGAAGGAACTTTACTGTTAAGCCCTGCTTAAAGTCTGAAAAGGCTTTGAAAAGTTGTGTGAATTATGAAGTAAATTTTATTCTCCCACTTTTTTTTGTTAATAGACAGGAAGGGTAGTTAGCATCCTGTTGCTTTTTTCCAGTTGCAGAAATTCACAATTTCACCAAGTAGCAAGTTAGCCAATCCTATCAAGAGAAATAGAAAATAAAAGATTTATTCCCAGACTGTGGTCAGTTCATGCAATTCTGATGGTCTGTGAAACCACACAAACAGATCACAGAGCACCCAGAATTCCATGATTAAAGAGAAACTTGCAGGTGGCCCATCTGTGTACTGATTGTGATTCATAACAATGGCCTATGACCATCAGTATTCAGACCAGAGCATATCAGAAGCCACTACACTGTTCTTTCACTTGGGTCTTGATTTCCCAGTTAAGTTGGCAGCATGCACTCCTCTTCCTCAAAACACAGGAGAGTGATCTGGTTTTCACCATCCTCTTAAGCATAAATTCCTGGTATGTGTCTGTACTGCCCCTGTATTTTGCATGAAATTTTGACAAGGCTGGGCGGGTCTTTGACCAACCTGGCCTAGGGAAAGGTGTCCCTGCCCACTGCAGGGTGGTTGGAACTGGATGATCCCCAATGTCCCTTCCAGCCCAACCCATTCTATGATTCAAAAAAACACACTCACACAAACCCAAAACCAAGCAAACAAGAAGCAAAAAACAACAAAACCAAAGACCCACAAACCAATGGAATAACCATTTCATAACACTAAAGATTCTGGATTTAGGATTCATATTTCAAGCTTTCATAAGAAAACAGACGTCTTTTGAAAACAGACTATGTGGAAGTACTGTCCAAATGCAAATGACTATACAAACAAAAACATGTTGATGTTGGATTCTACTTTTGGATGACACTTTTTCTGATTGTAATGCACTGAACCATTTTCTAGCCTAATGATAAATTAAGAGAAAAGGAGGAAAAAAGAGTATTATTTATATGCACTTAGAGAAGTGGAGTCCTTAACATTTTCCCCCATCAGATAAAAACTACTTTAAATAATATTTCCATGTGTATTTTTCACTTTCACAGTTTTTCACTGGCATACAAAAATTCAGAGGTTAGAGAAAGAACATGGGGAAGGTTTATTCTGTGCAGCTGAACATGTTGTAACATAAAAATAGAGGACCCCTGGAAAAATAATATTTAACTTGGGAAAAGAGACTGCAGCTCTCTTCATTCTTTTATTCTGCCATGAAAATACAAATAAGAAGGTAAAATAAACCTATTTCCAGAAAAAATATCTTCTATAATGTTTCCCACTCAGTTTAGTGGATAATTGTAGCCTGAGAATTGTTACTGGTGGTAGAATATCCACAAGACAGATCAACCTAGCAAGGAAAGGATAGAAGGGTTTCTTTGGTTCTTTATGGCCCATTGTACAAAACACTAAAAGTACAAAGAGACTGTTATCATGAGTTCAATGGTTTAAGTCCTTGCAAAAGCAAAAAACTATTTGTTTTAAAAATCAAGATTTTCTTTGAAACAGAACATCTAAGACAAGACAAAAGCCTATAATGGAGCCTGCTGATGGAACTCCTAGGAATCAACCTCCCACTTAGAGCATGGACATTGTCCAATCTAGATTTTGTTTCAAATTTAGATCACAGTGGAGTACAGAATATCTCTGACCTGTCTTCACAATTTGTTGCAGTTTTTGATTACTCACATTGTCAATCTTTTTTCCTAAAATTTATTAATAATTTGCCTTGCTGTAGCTCACATACATAGCTGTAATATCGTTATGGTGTACCTCTGAGAAGAATCTGGCTCTAACTTTTCTTCACTTTGCTCCTGAATGTTAGAAAACCAGTTTCCTTTAATTTTCTTTTTTCCATACTGATACAACCCAGTTCCTTAGTCTTTCCTGACTTTTTCTTGAATATCCTGTGTTCTAGACTCTTAAACAGCTCGGTGGCCCTTCACTGACTAATTGCTTTATTACAATATTTCTGGATTACTAGGGAGACCAAAATGGGAATAATAGTTTGGATGCTGCATTCTTAGTGCCAAGTGAAGAAGAATTACTCTGGCCTATTGAGTACCCTTTCTCATAGAGCTTATATTCTTCATATCTGCCAGGACACACTCCTGAATAAGGTTTCAATTGGCCACTGGGACATCTTAAGCCCTTTTTGTTAGACAGGTTGCTAGTCAGTGTGTCCCCAGCATTTGCAGGATATTGTGTTCATCTTTGTTAAACTTCATAAAATCTCTGCCAGTTTCTCTCAGTTTGATACCATTTGAATATGGTATTGCACTTCATCCCATTTTACAGGCCAGCAACAAAGACATTAAACAACATCAGTCTCAATATCAGCCCTGAAAAACGACTGATTCATTTATTTTTCCCAACCTGAATGTTACAATACCCCACATCAGGACATACTGTGGCTGTGGTGGCTCTTCAAGATGAAAATAAAGACACAGACTGTAAATATAAACATAAACATTGGGTCTCTAATTTGTCCCTGCTATGTCAAACACAGATTTTTTTCAGTACTGTTCAACATCCTTCCACCAATAAGGAATTACAAACAACTTTTTAATCACTTGTTTCAGAAGTGTGGTGTTTCAGTGTTCCATGTGCCTTTTATTGACAGCATTCAAGAATCTTTATTAGTTGATATACTCAATCAAATGAAAGAATTATCTTTTCATGAGAATGATTACTTTATGGGATATGGGGAGACAGTTATTCATATTGCATTCATATCCTAAGCATATAAGCACCCTGTACCTTTTACTGGTGATGAAGAAAAGGCAGCACAATGATAAGTCTGAGATAATAAATATCAATTTATGGTGTCACACGGATTTGGAGCATCTCAGTTTGAGGGTAGACTACTTTTTAAAATGTTATATATGCATATGATTTATACAGTCAATACTGGTTAAACCACAGTGTTCCACCATGGTTGATTTCCATCTTCATGTATTATATTCTAGACAAGCCAACACTTCAGACACAGAAGATCTAATTAGAATTAGGAACACTTCCTCATGTGGGAAATTACTATATGTGTACGAGAGAACACTCAAGGCAAACTTATGTTGCTGTGGTAAAATAAAATGACACCTCAGATGTAGAATAAGCTAGAATATGAAAATATACTTTGTCAATATGACTGAAATTTCTCTAGAAAATTCTGTTGTGTTACTTGTAAGGAGCAGTGTAGGCTTGACCTTAGGGATACATTTTAGCTTTACATATCCTGCTGGTTTTTTGTGTGTGTGAATTTGTGTGTATACACACATATACCTGCATGTGTATGTTTATTGTATTGCTTAGTACTTGTAAAGTACTAAAAGATTTTGAAAACTACATTGTCAAATTAGAAAGTGCCTTCAGCTTGATGTAGCATAGTGGTAACAGTTGCAAATTCAGGTTAAGCATGGAAAATTCCCATGACTCCAGTATCTAAAATGTTTTTAAAGTAAAGAAATTCTTAAAATTTATTTTAACCAATGCTCAGGTAAGAAAATGTATTATAATTACAAAAGTATTTAACATTTTTTTTTCCTCTTTTTTTTTCAGAAAACTCCACTTTGTTACATTTTGTGGCCTATTTCATTGCTGTGTCTGGTTAATTCAGTCATGTTTCATTACTCTATTGACATGGCAGAACATAATATTACTGGTACAACTGAATGTGTCAGATCAAAAATATGGTACAACACCCTGGGAAATTAAACAATTTCTTTCTCTTTCATGTTAAAAAAAGGCAGAGATTTAATAAAGCTCTGAAAACATTTAGTTAAAATTATATTTAAAACTTTAAATTTGTAATCTGTTATGGTTCATGTGTATTACATCTCCAAGCAAACACAGTGTAAAAGTGCAGTTGCTACTTTTTTGTTAATAATGGAAATACTCACACAGACACCTGGCTGGCTTCCAATGCTTGGGAATATGTGACTTAAATCTGATCCATTCAGTATGTCCTTGTTCAACATCCACTGAAGTCATGCAGCTCCATGTGATTGCAAAGAGAAGAGAATTGCCACTTCACACAAAAATCTACCTCAGCTGCTCTCACTTTAAGGCAGATGTACAGAACGAGCTGCATGCAAAATTTAAGAAAAATAAGGAAATTATATCACTGTAGGGAAAAAGTGATTTAAAGATAATGCTCAAAGGTGGTACATCTTTACTCTTACCTATGTTGTGGAAGGCTCTTTGTCCTTTATCTTCAGGAAAAGCTGAAGAATTGCAGACACCAGGGAGATGGTGAATTACTTTCTGCATGGCAGCACAAAAAAGACTAAAACAAAAAATGTTTTATTCAGTACACAATATTTTAGTTCCATGGAAATTGGCTTTTTGGAACTTTCTTTGTCTTTGTTTCTGGCTATTGGTAGATTTCTGACAGACAAGCAAAAATTATGCTCATGGCAGAAATACTAAATACAAGAAATGTCCAAGAGGAGTAATGTACCAAAAGTGGCAGAGTAATGGTTACAACAATGTTGAGTGTGTGACCGTAAAACAACATTATATATGTGGGACTCTAGGTGAACAACAATGCTAAAAACCTGCTGTTTCTAGTCTCATTCAGGATAAATCTCTAAATTAAGATACTTTTTACTTCAAGAATATGCCTCAGCAAAGTTTTTACTGTATTTACTGACAATATCCTAATCAGATCTTCTTAGCTATCACTTTGGAAGCTAGTTAAACAGTAGAAATTCAGTCAGGATTCTTTTTTTCATTTCAGTTCTACTTATTGTACCTAGTTGAGGTTTTACTTTTCTTCATAAAGACACTCTAGTATTTGCAATTTTCTCTCAGTCTTTTCTTTAGGAAGCAAGTAAACAACAAACCTTGAATATTTTACCAAACAGTGAACAAATTCATTTCTCTAGTGAACAGTCTTCAACAACACTTGGCTTTCTTTTGCTTTACTATGTTGAAACCAGTGTGGGAGTTGCAACCAACACTGGGGTTTTTCTGGAGCCAGACTCGTCATGAACGAATCTTCTTCCCAAGTTATTAATTTGTATTTGTCAGCAATCCAACTGACCTCAAGACAACTTCTTGCCTGGAATTCACCCTGTGGAGTTTATATTGTCAAAATTCTGTTTTAACATGGATGTCATAAAAAAATAAAACTTTGGAGAATATGATTCTTTCATAAATGCCAAGGTAACTTTAGTTGAAAGATATTGTCTGTAAGATGTAACACCACTCTTGAAGATTTTTGTCTCAATAAGTTATTAGCATGAGCCAAATGCTGTGAATATAACAGGACAGTATATTCCAAAAAGACAGTGAAAATATACAGCAAAATTTGTTGCATGATTTGCCTGAACGGTATTTTCAAAAAAACTGTGAAACATGATCCAAGATTCATACTAATTTATTTGTGTCTCATGGACAGAGGTACTAACTCCACTTTCTAAAAAGTGTGATTATTGAGAGTACAGCAGCCAAAAATATATAGTCACACACTACACCGGTGCATTAACTATAATAAGGAGTTCTATTAGAAAAATCACAAGGTTAATTGGAGTTCAAGACCACTATTTTAAAGTGATTTCTTTGTGTCAGGTTATCTATAGTCCAACTGTATTGTGGAGGAGGAAAAAACAAAAGGTAACTAAATTATAAAAAAGGTGCTGTATTAGCTAAGGAGACAAACCTGGACTGTTATTTGGAAACAATCTTCACGCTGTTTAAGATGTGTTATGAAGGTACTGCTCAATAGGAAGATTATGTTACTGACTACCTGTATACATCACTACTTATGTTAAAAACAGGGATATAATGAACTTTAAAAATCCCATGTTAACATACTATTCTAGAAAGTCACATAAAGACTCTGGAACTTTAAGTTGGTTTATGGTAAATATACAGATGCAAAAAGCCTTTCATCAACACATCTAGAACTAGAATACTAAGAAGCAATGGATGGCATCTGTGAAACAGACTGAGGAAAATGATACAGGGATTCATATCCAAAAGATAAAATAAGGATAGGTAGCCTTGTGGAGCAGGTATAGACCACAAAAGGAATAACACACCCTGATTGTCTCTAGGCTTTCCTGCTCTTTTGCATAAAACTTCAAGAACTAAACCACAAAACTGTTTTATGAAGTGAAAGTTTAAATATTAGTAGCTGCAGATGGGATTTGTAAAGATTAAATCTCAATTAATTGAGGAATAAAATATTCTTTGGTTTTAAATCTGAGGGTTTTAATTCATATAAGCCCTGTATAAAATTTCACCTTTTGGCACTCCTTTGATCCAAAGGATGATTGTGCTTACAGAGTTTACTGTAGTCCAGCTCAACCCAGAGTGAATTCAGTTCTTATCTCAATACTATCCTTCCCCACTACCTAGTATAAGAAGTCCACATCAAATACATACAGAGTAAATGCTGGATTAGAAAACTCTTTTATTCCCCGTGACTTACAAAAAAGGGTAACATTCTGATGCTATGACCTGATTCTGGAGGTGAGGGTAACTGAGGTTCTTATTAACAGATCCCTTGGGGTGGATTAGAGTGAAACAACACTGAATAAATGGTGTTGATTTATTATGGCAGGTTTATTTTGGAACAATTTGGTTGCAATGGAAAGGAGGTATGTAGACATTTTGGTTATCTTATTATCTAAAGAGACATATCAATCTAAAAGTAACAAATATTTCTTAAGAGAATACATACAGAGAAGAAAGAGAAAAGACAAGAGCACATAGTGGAGAGGAAAGATATCACCATTCGTGGATCCAGGACAAGACACGATTGTTACAATTTCAGTGACTGTTGGTTAAGGTGATGGTCACAGTCTTGACCCATCAGGGTTGGGGGAAGACAACAAAACACAAAGTTCAATGGATTATACATGATCAGGTTCAAGTGGGAATGCCCAGCAATGTCCAATAGTGGGGGAAGTTTTACACTGTCTGATGTAACACTGTGGATCATCCACAGTCCTCTGGTGGAAGGATCTAGAAATGAGTCTGGGAGCACTTAGTGGTCTTTGATGGGCTATGAATCCTTCTAAGACATGACAGCTGCCTCTCATGTCAGTGTAGCCAGTTATGCCCCATCAGAGGGATGAACACCTTCAGGCCTACGCATGAATGTGAATGTTCTGATCCTTCCCCTGGAGGGGTGACTCGTACACCAGAGGCAGTTGTGTAAGGGCAGAAATTGGCATGATAAAAAAGCATTATCCCACTTTGGCAGGATCCTCTTCTTATGTTTCTCTATCTAGCAAAAATGCTAAACAAAGGCTGATTTGGAATGGTCATTCTCTGGTGGCTGGTGTGCATCCCCTCCTCCCTGGGCCATTCTTATGCAGATCAGATCTCAACATCACACACAAAAAACTCTGCTCCTCCCCTTGGGCTGGGGTCTGCAAACCTGGCCCCACCAAAGCACCCTCTGCTTTTGCAAATGACCAATTTTTTGTCATTAACGTTTAACATTTCAATCTCTCAGACCTGGCACACCTCAGAATAAACTATACCCAATTAATTTCTGTAAGATGATTGTAGCTGGATGTGTACTGTGGGCAAGGCATATCCTAGTCAGCCACTTTCCATTTTTTCACTAAAAAGAAGGAAATGATACAGGATTAGGATAAACCATGCAATTACAGGAATGCTGTCCAAATCTTAGTAGCTACAAAATAATATTCATAAAGCAAAGGTCTCTGCTTCTCTACCATCTCTTAGATAATGTTTTATACAACTATTTGGCAGTTATTGCTTTATTATTTGGATTTTTTTTTTATTATTCTTCAGTTAATTACATGTTAATTCAAAATCAATTTGGCTGGAAACAAAATACTTTAGTGTACAAAACATTAGATAATTTTTTATGCTGTATTAAAAAGTTTTAAAAGTCAACCCTTCCTATTAAAGGCCAATAAAAACTTGATGGGCTGGATTAGATACAAGCTGTTCATAAGCTTTCAAAATTAGTTACAAATTAAAGCTTTGGTCAAGACAGAGTTTTAAACAGATGAGAGCAATCTTTGAAGATTATCCACTTTTAGTGCTTTGCTCATCAGAAAGTCTTCTTTCTATACTCCTTTCCTCCCTATCAAAAAGCTTTTGAGAATTGACTGGTGACTGAAAATAATATATACATAAAATTCTGCTTTATTCTTATCCTTATATTTCCCAATGATAACGTTAAATTAGGGAGGTGGGAGCAGAATTCCTGTCTCCTGTTCCCTCATAGGGTTGCTGGTATGAGTAAGAGGAAATGTCCAACCACTTCAGAACTTCATGGCACCTCCCCCCTGTGAATGTCTCAGTCAATTCTGAATAGGTGGCACAAGCCTCTTGATAAACAAAGCTTGACTTTTTCATTCACATATTGTCTATTGTAAAGTATTTCTCAGATGTCCTGTGAGAAGGATTTCAGGGCTGTATATTGTTTGCATTGTGCTTTTACTGATCAGTTCTGATAAATTCTGATTACCTGTGTGCTCTGCTATTGTCTCTTGACTCTTCTGACATAAATAGTGGCTTTTATTGGTGGCTTTTCTGAAATAAATGGTGGTTATGAAATACAAAAAATAGTAATACTCAAATTCTAGTCTTCAGAGAATTCTGCAATAACAATCAGCCTGTTTAGGAAGAAGAAAGTCCTAAGTGCTGAAATATTTGGAATTACACATCCTGACATTAATCCAAGATATTGAAGATTACAACTCAGATATTTTACTGGCAGTAGGTAGGTCTTATTTACATAACTATGGAATTTTACTATTTTATTTGTAAAAAAAAAATAATTATAAAATTAATTATTTTAGTACCACTACATGTATTTCACCTAGTGTTATTTCCTAAAATAAAAAAANATTTCACCTAAAATTATTTCCAAAAAAAAAAAAAAAAAAAAAAAAAAAAAAGAAAAAAAAGGTACAATGTTAGAGAAAGGCCAGCAATGGGATGAGAAAAATAGATTCTGTACTGTCAAGTACCTAAAATGAGAAAATCCAAGTTCCCTTTTCTGAAATACCAGCCCTTTACCTAGGAGTAGATTTTGCATTCTTAATATTCCAAGAGAAGAAAGTTTAAACTTGTGGTAGTGAAACAAATACACAACTTCAAAGTTTCAGATATGGTTTAATACTATTTCAGGGGTTGAACACCTGCCTATTCAAAATTGTAGTACTAATCTACCTGTCAAAATTGTATGAAACTACTGAGATCTTCAACAAAGAAATACAGTCTTTTTTTTCCTTGGGTTAAATGCACTGTGAAATTTATGAGGTGTGCAAAACTTTGCATTAAAAGCACTAT